AGGGAGGCCGCGTCAGAGAGTCCATTCCACGCCCCGACAACCCTACGCATGAAGGCGTTTCACCGAACGTCCATATGGACCAACTACCTCTGCAGTTTAAATGGCTGACGACGTAGATGTTTCGTCCGAGCCAATTTGAAGATATCATCCAATTTTAGAGCGCACATATGGCCTCTGGTAACTCGGTAGGTTTGAATTAAGTCACCGCGTTGTTGCCTGTAATTTAGAGGAACCAAATTTTGTTCACCCATCCTGTCCTTGCAAGGCAGATGACCAAGTTTCTTGACCATCTGCGTAGTTCTGACCTGCACACATTCCAGTTGCAGATAAAACTTCTTTAATCACAGACGCCAGGCCTTGACGAAATAGTCCAAGTTGGACCAAAGAAATGCTACGTAGGTTTTTCTGATCTAGAAAAATCCTCGTCTTAGCACAAATAACACCTGTGTCGCGCATTTAGCTGCCTCTAGACACAGTGGAGATGCTTTAAGCGATCAGGTTCTGAGAACACCGAGGTTCTTCTGTTCCTCAGCATGTGCAAGGGACTGTCCCCTAGGAAGGAAGTTGAAGGAATCATCCTCCACACTTGTCCTTCTAGTACGAAGCCTTAAACCCCCCACACTTGCTAGCGTTAAAATTTAAGAGTCAACCAGCAGGCCAGCTGCTAAGTTGATTGAGAAACTCTTGAAATACTTGCTTATCGGCATCAGACCTGATGGCTCTCCAGAGTTTGACATCGTCCGCGAACATGATAGAATTGCAGCCCAAGCTGTCGACACAGAAATTGACATAAACTAGAAATATCAACGACTCTAAGACTAAGCCATCACTGGGACACCGCTTAGAACGGGGGTAGGGGTTGACTCTCATGCGCCAATGATCATAGTTTGCGATCGCTATAGGAAAAAGTCTGTCATCCATAACAGTAGGCTTCCTCTTATTCCAATTTCAGGTAATTTATGAATTAGAAGTTCGTGTGGGTCGTTGTTAAGCGCCTTCTTGAAATCAATGTTAATGATGTCATCTCTACAATATTCGTCCAATGCACAAGTCTACTGTTCAGTCTAGAGCAAAAGGTGGGAAAGACAAGAGTGGTTCTGCCTGAAGCCGTGTTGGAGCCCGGAGAGTAATTTTTGCTCCTCC